ACACCGATACTCGTGTGGGAGAGGACTAGTAGGGCGGTCTCTCTCTGAACTGCGACAAGTATGGAGCAATGGAAGGTAGCAGACAGCTGGTAGAGTACAGGGAGATAGGAGTGTGCTAGCCGCACCACCCCATACCCTCCACTCCTGGGCGCTGCTGGTCGCTGGTTGACGCTGGTAGACGCTGGCAGAGGTTTGCAGACGCTAAATCGATATCTATCCTTCCTAATCGTGACGCTGCCGGACACTCGTTAGTGGTCGCTGATGGACGCTGATAGACGCTGGTGGACGCTGCCGCAAAGAATGAACGCAGCCTAAGTGACTTAGTCGACGTAACCCACGTTATCGAGTTTTCGACGTGAAGCGATACGTATCTAATCTTCTGTCGCCGTTTTTTTCGATTACGTCGACGTCGGCGAGAGTATGAACGCAGCCAGAGCTCTTGTAGATAATGTAAGACGACAATATGAATACTTTTCAAAGCATACTCGGAATGGTTTTAATTCAAATTCGTTATATTTAGCCGACACTTTTTAGCTACAAACTTTGCGAAGCAAATGGGATTCAAAGAAGAAGATCTTACGACGGACGTTTCTCGACAGATGATCACAAAATGGAGAGCTGACAGATGTCAACCGAATTTCTGGCAGGTACGTTTCTAATATTTTCTTATTTATTCATTTTTTAACGGTCTCCGTGACAACGATTTATTAGCTCGCAAATTCCACCGCTCGTAAATTTCATACCTACTTCAATTAAGCTGTCCGATCATTACGTGGGGAAATGGGGATGGAAACTTCAAGATCACTCCGCCTATAATAAGGAAATTAGACTTCGTGGTTTGCTTATACTTCTACTCAGCCTCATGGTGGTATTTTGGATGCGATATGGCCTATACATCTTATATCGCAAGGAATCATGCAGTGAGGGGGGGGGTGTTAACGGTGTGAATTTGACGCCAAGGCTGCGTTTTCTTCCAATAGACTGCTGGTCTGAGTCGGGTGTACATGGTGGAAGACGTGGCAAGTGCTGCAGGCAAAACTATCCCTCTGAGGCTGCGTTCACACTTTGCGGCGGCGTCTGCCAGCGTCCACCAGCGACTGGGAGTAGAGGGTATGTGGAAGTACGAGGGTAACAAACGACTGGATTAGGCGTGGCCACAATGCGGCGTGTGCAGCCGCACCGTACAACGCACTAAACTATACATCAAGTTGCATAATTCCATGCTTTAGCCGTTGTGCCGAGCGGTTGCACAAGCCGCAATTTCACGACGCCTAATCCAGTTGTTTGCTACCCTCCTACTTCCCCATACTCTCTACTTCCGGTCGCTGGTGAACGCTGGTGGACGCTGGTAGACGCTGGCAGACGCTAGATTGATACCTATGCTTCTCTAGCCCTCGAGACGCTGGCAGACGCTAGATCTATATCTTCCTGGTCGCTTGCGGCGCCGTTCGCTCGGAACGCTAGCGGACCCTCAGGCAAAGTATGAACGCAACCTTCTTCGCCACATCAGTCCGCCAGAATGCGGAATGTACAAACAGCGACTTATGTACAATAATCGTGTACAAATCAGTGCTTCATCCTTGTAGATAAGTATGTCACCAACTTACCTGCACGCAAGGGATGAAGGGCTCGGTAGGTGAGAGTGTTGGCCAATCCGGAGAATGGAATGAGTGGTTTGGTAAATTGGCCATATGTGTGGTAGAGCGCAATCACATTCCTTTTTTCCATAAACAAGTAACACTGCTCACGGCACCAGTAGCCAGGTTTTGTAATCATGAAAGGGTCATTAAGTGCAGCTTTTCCAGAATGTTTCGCCGGATCCATCGACCTCATGTGGCCCTTACCGTCCAAACATCCCAAGCCTCATGTACCGGCGATACTACAACGATCACTCGCGGGCACCACGATCAATAGACAGGTTATCTCTCTTCCACATGTGTCATTTTTCAACAAAATTAAACTTCAGCAACATATCTCCTCTTGAGATTCAACCATGACACACTTGGGATGGTAGTAGTGGATTCATCAGGGAATGTTAGTGCTGGTACCTCAACTAATGGAGCTCGTTATAAGTTAAGTATCTTTATGCCTTTCGCCAAGAAATAAACGTTTGTAACAGGTCTACGTTTCAGATTCCCGGCAGAATTGGAGATTCACCAATTCCAGGCGCTGGCGCTTACGCTGTGGAAGGTGTTGGTGGCGCTGCTGCTACTGGGGATGGCGATATTCTCATTCGATTCCTGCCCAGGTATATTCGTTTTGGTCCCTTTAGAGGCAGGTGGCGAGGCAAATCCACAATACATGCGGAATTAATACATCTAGGAAGACAGAATTCGGCGCCCTCTGAACATGCGCTGCGTGGCGTCTTTTCCAAGGAAGGTACTCTTATAGCGCCCTATCAAGCTGCAACATTTCGACTTGGACGCTCCACCGCGCCCGCCCGCCCGCAAATGTCCGACCGATCCTGGTGCTCGAAGTAAAATTTTAAGCGAAGGAATTGGCATAAAGCGGCTGTGGCGCTGCATGGATATATGAGTACATATATGCAGCCGTATCTACCGTAACGGTTATTGGCACGATGCCAAAGGAGAACTCGTCCGAAATCGCTGTCTCGGTCGTGTAGAACAGAGGCTTTTTTCTCAAATTTTTGACCGTTTCACTTAATTTTTTCGCCGTTTTTCCGCTATGAGCACCCCTTCTACCATCTTGGACCGAGCATCGAATTATCGTGCCTTATGCCCTTTAAACAAGCTGTACTTTCTCATCCGTGGATCCTGGTTCTTGCATGAGGAGAATGGGTCTGCGGCTGCAGAAGCATGGCACTTTCTGCGCTCAAAAGACGCGGAAACGGGTGTGGAGGTAGTGGTACCCGAGCACGGCCATAGCCAAACGCGCTGCTAGTCTTTGCTCTCTCACTTCTGATTATTCCCTATCACTGAGTACGTGTTTCGCTGCGGGACCACAGATCGGTTCGGGTGCTCACCTTGAGAATAGTACGAGCAGGCGAAGGAAGGAGACAGCACTCGGATACAGCCTCTCTCCCGTGCGCTTTTGCGCGCAGAAAATGGCACGCTACTAAATATTCGGGCCCGCAGACCTCATATACGGCTAGTGCCGTTCTCGGAGGTGAGTGTACAGTCTGTCGTGGAAGACCTCTAATTCCGAAATCAATTCCAGCTTCTACATCGTGGAACAAATGCGTCTAGGAACAAAACCCTTCAAAGCTGCTCATAAGGCTATTCGACGAATACTCCAAGATTATCCTCATTTCCAAGGTAATACCAGTTGATCATTGTAGCTGGAATCTGATGAATGTGGTATTTAGGAGCTGTGGTTGCGGCTAATGCAGCTGGCGTACATGGAGCGGCGTGCGCTAATTTGGGAAAATTCATGTTTTCAGTTGGAGAAGGTGGAAAAACGCGATCTGAGATCATTGCATGCTTACCGACCAAATTATCTCCGGAATCGAAATCGCATCATAAAAAGCGGCACGGCCATTGAGAAACTTGAAATAAATCACAGCCATTCACATTAAGTGAAATAAAATGAGATTCGCATTACGTATTTTCACATGACGTCATAAGATCTCAATATTGATTAGCCTGTCCAGGCTACCTAATTTATATGATACAAGCATACCGTAGAAAAAAGAAAAAAAGATAATTTTTGAAAAACCGTTTGCAGTTACACGAAAAATGTGCAATACAAAAATAGTGGAGCAGCTGGAAGAAAGAATGGTTCTCACACTAAATGTCATACAATGAAGTTCTTTCATGAGCTAAAAGCTCCTAGAAAACTTGACAGAGTATAAATCAATAGATACAAATGGCGGACGGCTATGTGTAGCTTTTGGATTCTTTTTTTAAAGCGAATAGAATTAGAGAATACAATCGCAAGCCCCTGAACAAGAACATTTTACAGCGTCCATACTTTGCGACAGCGACCACCAACGTCTACCAGCGCTCACTAGCGTTTCAAGCGTCCGGCAGCGGCTAGGAAAGTATAGATATCGATTTAGCGTCTGCGAACGTCTGCAAGTGTCCACCGGCGTTTGCCAGCGTCTGGAGGGCTATAGAAGGATAGTCATCAACCTAACGTCCAGCGTCAGCGTCCACCAGCGCTCATCAGCGACCCGGAGTGGAGAGTATGGGGAAGTAGGAGGGTAGCAAATATTAGGTCATCCCATTCAAAAGTGCCGAGACATATAGAGGAATGGCAGAAAAGCAAAGGGGATAGGGAAGCGGGCTACTATACCATTTGGAGGCTAGTACCTTTAGCTGTGTATCTGTGAAATTTGGCGAACCTACCCACAGAAGAAGTTCTCGAGAAATTGAAAAGAAGCCCGAGTGGTGAAAATCAGCGCCCGATTTTCAAATCAGACGTCATAAGAGGGAAGTGCGCTGCTCAAATTCGACCGGCGCTGGACCAGTAGTTGTGTGTAATGGTGTTCTCGAAATACAAGGTGGAAGGTTTGGTTCAGGAGCCCGAAGAAGGAAGAAAGGAAAAAATTTGTTGTCGTGGATGGTCCCATGATGTTCATCCTGCACAAGAAAAAAGAGCGGATGAAGTCAAGCAC